AGGTGGTAAATACCGAATTGGGCAGTCGGAACACCAGTCACATCCGGAAGAACACCTCACAATTGTTTCAATATCAATTGAAACTTTTTCGTAAGATTGATTTTCTGAACATATAGCCTCCGTTTGACAGGGATTAAAATTAAATTTTTAGTAGATTTTGATAAAAAAATTTAAAATATGTCGTTAAAAAATCGTGATACCCATAAAACATGTGGTTAATATTGATAGTTTGATTTTAATTTAGATTAAAATCTGATTTAAATCAATACTATGGCCATAATATTTGATGACATGTGTTAACCGGGCCGCAGTGGGCTTAATTCCTTGGACCCGATTGGACTGGACAGCGTCCCGCATCTAACACGGATAATAAAGAATTCAAACACACGAACTAGTCTTACTCGAGAAAAGAAACAGAGGGTCCTCGATTCTCTCTTTGCTCTTTCGCTTCCTGGTAATTCTCTTTTCATCCTTTGAAATGCCTTTATTACTTACACTGCACAGACATGTTATTCGTGCGTGCGTTTTATTACATAGTCATAGTGGGAGGTTAACAAGAATATGTTTATACATAGAAACGAAATTTAATTGGGGCTTTAAGTTTGTATATGATTAAATAAATAATGAAGTAATCTTGGTAGGAGAATAAGAATGAAATGAAATTTTCTAGTTCTCAATGCAGGTGTAGATCTGATTTTGGGGGATAGGAATGTTTGAGGTTTGAATGTTAATAAGTTGTATTTATTTATCGAGATTTATATGTTTTCTTCATCTTCTGGAGATTTTGTTGGCTTTGCTTTAACTCTTTGCTGAGCTTTTATTTACTGAGGATGCAATTGTTATACTCTAGATTTTCCAATTCCGTCTCTTGAACCACTTTATCCAAAAGCTTACATATAAATTTTGTCTTCAACCTTCGTTCATTGTTTATTTGTGGGTTTGGCCTTTTGTTTTTGTTTATACGAACACTGCTTTACCAGAGGTAGTCAATCCTATAGCTTTTGTTCGTTTTGAGTACATTAATATTTCGTTGATGACCATTTACTAGCTAGTTTCTTGAATTGTAGTATATTGAACCATAGGATGGTTTATTGACTGAGCTTTCAGCTAAAACTGAAATTAAGCATTATTAGCAATGTGGAATGTTACATAAATACGCATTGTGGATGGCAATATAAGACCAGGTTTATTTCGTTTTCAATAAGTCCCAGGGCTGCTTGGTGAGGCATTGGGTTTGCTCCCCAATGGTCACTAATTCGAGTCACCTCAGGGCCACTGAGGTGAGTACCGGCCGTAAACTTCAAGGCCCCGTGGGATTAGTCGAGGTGCGCGCAAGCTGACCCGGACATCCACGGTTATCAAAAAACAGAAAGTCCTAGGGCTGCAGCAAAGTAATAGTTTGATATTTGGAGACCACACTTTCTGATTGAGATTATTTCATACTAATTTAAGTTAAAATATTGGCCCCCAGAATTAAATTGTCTTCTCAAGATTTCCAATTCTTTTATGCTACTACATTCAACCTCATATTTTCTTTTATCTAATAATTATCCAATCCTTGAAGAGTTAATTTTTCTTTAACAGATTTGGAGTTTCATTTGAAGACTACAATAGAATTTCTGCAAGCATCAATCATTATGGAGTTTGTATCGCATGAAAATCTGAAAGGTAGTTGCTACTTTTGTATGGGGATTGCCTCTGTTGCTACCTGCTATGAGCAAACTGTTGGTTTTAAAACTTTAAAGTTTGTGAAAAACTTGTTGCAACATTGATGTTCTTCCTTTATGTGAATTTCTTTGAACTTTATTTCCGCTAGATAAGAACAGTGGAAGCACAGAGAAAGAGGTTGCAGAAGATGTTTAACCTCAGAACATGAGAGAGAACCTGACAGAACAGCCTGCTCCTTTTAAAGACATCCCAGAAGTTCATAAATTTGATTCTTCCAATGAGCATGCTTCTACTGCATCTATAGTTGCTTCCAGAGATGTCAAGATGGAGGCCTCTTTAATGGCTGATGAAGTTATGCGGGCTGGAGGCTTTGGAGCTAGAGACGATATTAGTAGTTTTCTTGCGGTTGCAAGTGACTCCACTGATTTTGAGGCTTCTCTTCGTGATGCTCGTGACTACAAAGATTTACAGGAAGAAATTGGTAGGCCAGGCCTTGGCTGGAAAGGTGATGCAAAGTGAATTTATTCCTGTTACAATGTTACATTATGTTTTCTTCTGATATTTCTTGCTCCCTTGGACTTAGGGTCCTGTTCTTCTTGGTTGAATACGTGACTTTACTGTATAAGCAATGTGGTTAGGTTCAAGTGACAATTCTGGGTTGATTCTCCATTATGGAATTAGATGTAGCTTTTCATTTGTTCATCTTGAAATGACACTTGATGTCCCCGTTCCTGTTCCTGTTCCTTTGTGGATGTTAATAAATGTCAAAGTACAATGTTTTCTCATACAGTAAGGTTATTGAATTACTGAAAACACAATTATGATGCTCTATTTCCGAGAAGTACAAAATTCTGTTATGTACATGTAAGAGGCTTTATGATATTTTATCTATGTGCCTCTAGAGCTGAAGTAGACCATAATTGAAAAAGAATAAGGGCGTGTTCGATAGAGATTAAAATGGGATTAAAATTGAAAAACTAGCCGTTATTGTTGACTTTTATTAGACGAGTGAGACCCAATAACGGCTATATTTTCAATTTTAATTGGATTTTAAACTATACCAAACATGCTCTAAGATTGAGAAAGAGAGAGTAAGAGAGACGAGAAAGAGAGAAGGGGAGAGTAGAGAGAAGTTAGAGGGTGAAAATATCGGTTTATTCAATATCAAAGTCTACCAATTACAATGCATAAGTTCCCTTTATATAATGTTAATGTTTCCTAAAATTAGTATCTAATTTGAAAAGTAAATGAAATAATATCTCTACTAAGATTTCCATCATATCTCCTTGACTAAGAGAACTCAACTTCAACTAGATGGATTGCAACTTTATTCTTCAAGAAGGTCAATCTTTTATTTTGACCAAGTGTCGGCACACGACGTAGCTCATACCAAGATGGATGATTTTTTATGGATCAATACTGATAGCAAACTCCTCAAAGTAGGTTCCTCAATACTGATGGCAAACTCCTCAATACTGATGGCAAACTCCTCAATACTGATAGCAAACTCCACAAAAGGTCAATTGATTCATATAATGATAAGCATAAGGAACTGTTAGGTTCCTGATTTGCTACAAGAAAATCTAATGGAGCTTTGATCCTGTGGAGCTGTGAGTTGATGGAATCCCTGTCTGCTGTGATTCAATAAGTGGATTTCCCTTGCTGCCACTATTGTAATCCTGTGTTGCAGCTGAGATCCTACGTTGCTGCTGTCCATATAGCGGCGATGCTGATGTTTCTATAGATCTGCTTAAGAGCAGAACTGAAGATGAAAACAGAAAACAGAATATTTTAGGCTGAAAATTGTAATCTCAATTGTGTATTTAAGATGGTAGGAATTTAGATTTGGTGTTGGAATGAGTAGCCGATTGTATATCTATGAAAAGAGAACTGTAACTTTAATGAAATGAAAAGATATTTAGCATTCGAGAAGCCAATTCTCTCCGAATAAATTTCTCTAAATTTCAGCCTTCTCTCCTTCTGCTTTCCCTTCCTTTTTATAAGCCCCGTGATCTAACAGCTTTCTAATTGCCTGTGTGAATTATATGTGGTGTGATTGCATTTCCTCCAGCACATTTACTTTGCTGCCCTTGCTGCCTTTCACATTTAAAATAAATTGGCGGTCTATCATTACTCCCTTCATGACATTCACCTTGTCTTCAAAGTAAAATTTAGGAAGTTGTTGTGCCAATAAATTGTATGGTTCCCATGCGACCTCCAAAGGGGGCATTCCTTTCCATTGGATGAGCACATCAACGCCCCTGATATTTCGACCTGAACCTGGTTGTACCCCCCCAAGAAAGCTTCAGTTCAACCACAATTTCCAATTCTTTCTTGAGTTATGATGCTCGAACTCGGATACAGGTATGTATCCAAGCGTTGAATCTTTTATTTTCTAAAATGTAGGATATGGGGATATTGCTAAAAAGAGTCCAAATTTCAGACACGGGTACGTAGGTACGCATTTCAAACTTCAATTTTTTTTTTACTACTCCAAGACGTCATTTTAAATAGACCAAAATCAATTATTCACAAAGAAAGAAATTGGTACTAAATAAGGGGTGGTAAGACAAATAAAATAGAATTTTGGGATTTAGTTTTCAATTATGAAAATTTCTAAATGTTATATAAAATAGAAAATGAGGGATTTGATTGCAATTTGGACTTAGTGAAGCACTACGTAACACTATATGAAACCCATTTTTATTTTATACAAACAAAACCTTAAACCACTGATATAGAGACAGAGAAGGAAAAAAAGAAGAAAATGGAGAGGAAAAAGAGAGAAGAAAAAGAAGGGAAAATCTAGCGTCGCCTCCTTTCTTCACCCCCTTGACGACGACACAAGATTTATAGAGAGCAGAAACGGGGAAAGAAGAAAAGGGAAAGAAAAGGAAAAGAAAGAAGTAAAAACAACGAAGTGTTCAGTTGAAACTTGGAGGATCCGATACATATCCCATACTCATGTCGTGTCGGACAAGGGTACTCCGACCATTTCAAAGAGTCCGAGCATTAGAGTCCTAAAGTTGTCGTGGAATGCTTGTCGCAATTTGAGAATCTCCTTTGGCGTAATTGGGAAACATGGAGGACGAGATGAATGTTGCAAGTGGATGGCTTGGATTATTTGTAGGCAATTGGATCCATTCAAAATATGTGTCTTCTAAATACTTTGGCAAGCTGAGGTCGGGATCAATAGGGATAAGTTCCACTCGACCAAACTTGCCAAAATATAGCGGTTGTGCTGGTGTTTCTATGGACCTGTTTATTATTGTTCTTTTTAATACTATACAAAAGGAGGGCAAGCAATTCCAGAGAGAGATTGTCGCCTCCTACTATTATAAGAGTTATAATTATCTCCATGAATGTAAAGATATTTCCTATATGATTTTTCTCTTAGGGCTTTAAGAAAATGTTGGAACATGGCAATTATGAGCAGTTCACATTCTGCCCTGTTTGACACCCATTTTCTTTTCATTTTCATTCTCATTTTTTTCTCTTTGTTCATTTCAACCACACATTCTATCAATAAAATAATATTACACATAAAATTAAAAATTCTCATTACTTTTTAACCACACATTCTTCCATTAATCATTATTCCAAAATTTATTTTTTCTCTAAAATGGGTGTCAAACAAGGGCTCTATATCTAACATGATAACACAATACTTTATCATTAGTCATAGTTCCAAGCATCCTAGCCCCCTTAAGCATACAATTTGCTGAATTTGTCGGAGAGAGAAGCAAATGATGATACAATTAATGGAAATATATTCTTTCCTTGTTTTATCACCATATGAAGCATCGGGTTAGTATGGAATATTTTACTTAGGCAAGAAGCAACTGCAACTTGTATAGCAACATGTGCATGCTTTAATAGCTCATCCTAGATCAATATCATTATTAATGGAGAGAGATGTGATCATGGAAACAATAGGTGATTAGTCCACTTGTGGGAGTGAATTTTCAATTTGTTCATATAGGCACGAGGTCATTAAGAGACAACGAATGTCGAAGAAACTGTATTCTAGTTTCATTAATTTTTCTCCTAACATTTTATAGGCACGCCACTACATCTTGGGAACTAACATAGGCCCGTTTGGCATAGCCTTTGCTTTTGCTTTCTGTAGAAGAACTTTTGGAAGAACCTGAAATCTATTTTTTAAAAGCACTTCCTATTGTGGAGGTGCTTTTAGAGGAAGCCATATTATACCAGTTTCCTCTACAAGTTCTTCTAACTACTAGAAACACTTTCATAAAATTAGTCAAACGGATCCAATTGCAACTTTTGGATCTCAAAAGTTCATTTTTGGCTTTCCAAAAGTCATGCCAAACGGGTGCTTACTCAAAAGTATTTGTTACATTTTTATTTTTTATTTTTAAATAATAAAACCAAATCGCTTTTTCTCACACGAGTGGAAATCGAGAAAGATAAGATTTCACGGATCCCTTGAGGTATGAAAATGGGCCTCCGTGAAGGCTACTTGAGATGACATCTCATTTATGACTAGAATACCTTTTCAGAAACCTTTTTTTGTTCCTTCTTTTTTCAAGAGACATAGCAACTACCAACTTAGAAGTAGCAAAATTTTTGTTTGTTTCTTTTTTTATTTGTTATTAATTTTAAAATAAGATACCAAGCACTTATATGAAAATTAAGGTTCCAATGAAACAAAATTGATACCTGACCAGAAGTCGAACTGAAGTAGCAACCCAATGTCTGAA